CTTGCTCTCCGCTGGGGCTTCGGCGTCTGCGGTGCCGGCCGCACGTGATGCGCGTTTGAGGAAGGGAAGGAGCAGGCCGCAGCGGACAAATGTACTTGGTCGGCATAAAGCTGTCTCTCCCCCAAAGAACCAAAGCGGCGCGGCCTGAATGCTGGTGGCCGCCCCTTCTCCCTCCCCAAGGACTTGCTCCCCGGGTGTTGAAAGGAGCAAACTAACAGTGGGCGTTTCAGCAGCACCGCTCTGCTCTTCGGGGAGAGCCAGGCCCCAGGCGCTGGCGAGGGGGGAGACCTGGAGGAGCACCCCAAGAACAAGGTACGTGCTTTTCTTCGGTTGGCGCATCCTGGCGGCTGCGCGGGGACTCCGGCCAGGGAGGAGCGGTTCTCCGTTTCGGCCCATGGCCTCATTGCGCGTGGGCCAGGGAGACGTGCGGGCATTCGCTTGCACGCGTGCAACGGTCTGCCACACACAGGCTGCATCTTCGAGTGCAGAGATGGTTTTCTTTAGGCTGCGTGACTGGTGTTTGTTGAGTAGGGGGCGACAGAAAAATGGTCTTACACAGGAAACCACTGGTGGCAAGCCTATTAATCGGGGGAGGACTCACCCTGTAGCCCCGGCCCGCTTGTATGTCTTTAAAACAGTGGTGCTCAGCCCTGGCCGGGGAGCGCGGCTGGTTAGAGCATCACCCCCGTAAGCCAAGGCTGTAGGTTGGACCCCCAGTCAGGGCACGTATGAGAGTCAACCAATGAATGCCTCAGTAAGTGGAACAAGTCGTCTCTCTCCCTCTCTAAAATTAATAAAAATTTAAACAACAACAACCCCCAGTGGTTCTCAGTCCTGGCTGCACTTGGCTGCACATTGGAATCAGCTGGGCCACCCCAGCAGCCCAGTTACATCAGAGCCCCTGGGGGCGGCGCCTCGGCATGGCCAGCTTCTGTGCCCTCAGTATGCGCCAGGGAGGGATCAGTGCTTCGAAAGGACAGCAGTCAAGAGATTTTTTAGAGGAGGGTTTCCTACCTCTTCTCAGTCATAACTACTGCACTTTGTTTTCCATACTTGACGAGGTTTCTTTTGAGAAGCGTAGTGGCCTCGCCCTCGCCTGCGTGGCTCGGTTGGTTCGGCGTGGTCCTGTGCACCCAGGGGCTGCGGGTTCGATTCCCGTCAGGGCACATGCCCAGGTTGGGGGAACGATCCCTGGTTGGGGGGCGTGCAGGAGGCAGCGGATCGAAGGTGTGCTCTCACATCGATGTTTCTCTCTTCCCACTTCCTCTCTCTCTCTGAAAGTCAAACTGTTCTATTAAAGAAAAGAAAGGTGTGACGGCCTCAACATCCACCCCGTGCTTTCCTGAGTTTGGTGTGGAACTGGATTTGAGTTGGTTTCTCTCGTGTTGAATTGATTCCACTCCAGGTCCAGAGATGGGTGCTGACTGATCTAAGCCAATCAAGGTAATCCTAGCTCAGCAGCTCACCAAGGTCCCTCTGTCCTAGGCCACCAGCCACAAAAACTTACTCTGTAACAGTCAGATGGGCTCTGAGTTTGAGTGTTGTTCAGTAGAGGGATACCCGCTCAGGGGAGGTGAGTGGAAGTGCCTGATGAACACCAGGGTGCCTGCCTAGGATGGCGACCGTGTGGGTGTCAGGATGAAAAGACAGAGGACCCGAGCCCTTGCGGATGTCACTGAGCGGCCTGCCCCACTCAGGCATAGCGGGTTACCTGTGTATCCCCTTTATTAAGCCGTCTTAGTTGGAGTTCCTGTTATCTTTCAGTGAGAATCTCATCTCATAAAAAGGGAGTCTAAAGCCAGGAGAATTAGGTAATTGAGAGACTTCCCTGGGAAGCTCTGAGCCTGAGCCATCTCTTGACTTCTAGCTCAGGTCCACTGGCACACACTAGGTAACACAAGGCACACCGAGACAGACATGAGGTTCAACCAATTCTTCGTCTCGCCTGGGCCAAGGAGAAAATCTCATTTTGATGCGTGACCTGAACCCCTCTGATTTTCCTTTTTAACAAACAGAGCAAGTCTCGGGCTCACAGATCTCGGCAAGCGACTACAGGTGGCAAAAATGTAGTATGTTCCGTCCGCCTTGTCTTTATTTCTATGGATGGAGGCTTTCTTTCATTAAATGCCCCAAATCATGCCGGTTGTCCTTTTTCTGTAGAGACAGCTTTCCTTTTTAAGAAGGGGAATGGAAGTGCACTAAGTACATAAAGCAGTTTCTTAGGTAAATGCAGCAAAAATGATGAAGATGGCAGCGTGAACGGGTGTGGCTCAGAAACGCTGCGTCGGGAAGTATGTGTTGGTTTAGAGACTGGGGCTCGTGTCTTTGCAGTCACAGCCGAGACAGCCTTCCTTACGAGGCCAGTCCTTCGCCAAGACCAGGGCTGCGCGGTGTGGTTGGAATTCAGATAGCCTGGTCCAAGTTCGTTTCTCTGAAACAGGGCGCTAATACTCCCTTTAAAGGACTTTTATTTGGGGCCGGGGCAGGGCTGTTTTGAGGACTCAAATTCCCTTGGAATCTAGTGTTCCCCAGCTAGTCCCAGGACCTGTCGAGCACATACGTGCTCAGGATGTGAGCTGAGCTCCAGGCGTTTTTAGGAAGAGTGTCACACTCCTTGGCAAGGTATAGTCACATCTCTGGCCCGGATGTCCCCTCCTTGGAGGACAGGGCTCTGAGTTTGAGCCTCTTGGCTCCTTCCTCCCAGAGAAGCCCACTGAGCTTCAGATGCAGCCACCAGCAAGCTACGCAGTGGCCTCCAAGGCTGAGTCTTTACTTTCAATTCCTACACTCCCGGGTGGCTGCTTCCCTTTCCCAGCTGCCCCACTCTGCTCCCGTCCAGATGGCAGCCCATACAGAGCTTCCATCAAGTACACTGGAAAAGCCCTTTTATTTCTAGCTTTTTGCTGTCATTTTCGAAAAGGGGAACAATCTGCTTATTAGGACTTCCATTTTTGCTTCATTTAGTAATAAGACATTATAATAAAGTAGAGCAAGATTTTTTTTTTTTTTATTGCAAGAACCAGTTTAGGTTAAAATGGCTGTGCATCTAAGACCTGGTGGTGTACTGGGAGTAGGGGGCGGGGTTGTTTTTATCACAGATGCAAACACTGTATCCTGAAACACACGCGCCTGCAACTCATTTAAATAGACCCGAAGATCTTGGTTCCCTCCGGAGCCTCTCCTGGAATAGACTTGCCCTTACTTCCTGTTCAGTTGGAGCACTCTGAAACCTGACTTCAGGATATGCAGTTGACACCCTATATGCTGAATTTTGAACACAGCCCCCACCAGTTTCAAGTTAGTGAATGTTCAAGTGGAATAAATTGATGGGAAGTAGCAGGATGCAATTACCAAATGGTGACTCTCATTTGGTGCAAGTTTGAATCGTTTTTTAAAGATAACCTTCCAGAAGCAGCTGGCAGAAAATGCCGTTTTTATTTTCTAGAAAATTTGACTCACTGTTGAGTTTATCTCAGCTGAAATAGCCTTTTCCTAGAACTCCTTATGGTGGCAAGTTGATGACCAACAGTTGGAACACCATTTTGGAATGGTGGGAGCTGCCTCTTCCTTTTATTTCCAATCTTCTGGGGGTTTATATTTTTACGATTTTGGTGAAACATGCCTGCAACTGGTGCCAACTCAATGAGCAAACAGTAGGTTAGAAACGAGGGTAACAATGGGTAGAGGACCACTGCTGAAGGGAGGGGCAGAAGGCTCACCTGAAGCTGTGAAACCCACTATACTCAATGTCCTACTAACTCCATTAGCCAGGAGTGGACTTCACTCAAGCTAAGAGGTTCTCGAGCTTTAGTGGCGTATAATCAATCACCTAGGATGCTTCGGGGGCCCTATCTGGAGGGTTTGGTGCTGGTAGCCTACAGTGGAGGAGGCGGGACACCCTCCTGTGTGGCAGTCCTCACTTGGCTCCCAGTGGTGACTCAGATGGGGCACTACTCCCCTGTCTGCTAGATGGCTCTTCTACCTGGACGCATTTGTTTTCTGAAATAGAGTGCATGTTTACCAACGGCCAGGATTCGGACCAGACACACAACTACAGGGCAATACAAGGCACAGACACTTCACAGCTTGGATCAAGAGGGGACAAAGAGCTGTTTGATAGAGACCCTGTAACTGTTCAGTGACAGGGAACCGGAGATGGGACAAAGACAATGCCTTGATGTGCTGAAAAGGGAGAAACATAGTGCTAGTTAGTCTGACTCTGGAACTCTCGAGAAATCTGAAGGGAAAAAGTACTCTGGAATCATGTTTTTAACACCCTGTTAAAAAGAAAATCTACAAAACTGTTCAACTTCCAGTTATATTCTCTAATTAAGCAGCAGTTTGCCACAGCTTTTGTTTCCAGATTATTCCAAAAGCAAACAGCAACAACATTCTTTTAAAATGGCTTTTATTGAGACATTTTTAGGGCTTCTGCAACATTGTTAGTTGGTCCACTTCTTAGGTGGCTAAACTTTTCTGAATGTCAACAAGGTCCACTCCCATCACCTCAGCAAGGAAGCACTCATCTGTCTCTGCTCAAACGTCCAACCAGACCCCTCCCCCCCATGGCTGTTTTGCACAAGTCTCTCATTAGTATCCATGTAGAACTAATAAACCCAGGGCAAATTCTTCCCACCTGTTAATTAGGCAGAGTAATTTCAAAACAAATGTGAAATGGCTTAAATGCAGCTGGTATTACTATCCTCAAGTAAAAGACCTTCTCAATGCTGTTTTTCTTCTTCCTGATTTGGTATCTGGGGACACCCTGTCCTAAATATTAGCTGGTGTCCACAGAACTTATAACCTGTGTAGCAGAATTAAATTAGCCCCAACACACTAGAGATTCTAGTTTTATGGTTTCTCCTGTATTGAGTAGCAAGACAACATTTTAGGGGAAGGTTGGCCAAATTTCTACTCTCAGGTAACAAAAGCATTAACAAGATTAATCTTTTGGAAAGAGTCTTAGAAATTATAGAAACCAGCCACTTCAGACCTGAAACGTGGCTGACCAGCCTTTGCCTTCTGCATGGATTGGAGGATCCCATCATTGTCATAATCGCTGAAAATGTTGGCTAATTCTGCCTCCTTGTAACTTCCCTTCTTTAGTATGAGTTGCTCTTGGGAATCTCTGCATAGTAAATATACCAGCTACTTCCATCTAGAAAGCCCTCCAAATAGGTGATCTCTAAAGCCTTTTTAAAAATAACAAGATGGTCAAGCTATACAAGAGTAGTTACTGTTTAGTACAATTGCTCCCAAAAGGTAAAAACTAACATTCACTCCATTTAGAAGGAAGAACACCAGGGCATTAAGATTCTGCTTGCAAATTAATGCCAATTTATGTTTACATCCTTTTATCATCGAGACATTTACATATATAAGCAGGCTACGATCCTTAACAAAAGGGGAAGTGAAAACCTAGAGGATATTTATTTTAGCAGTTAAAAAGGAAAAAGGCCAAAAGAACAAAAACAAAACCCCAAAACAAACCACCCCAAAGAATTTAACAGGTGCCTTGAAAGCCGCCTTGATGCCAAAGGCAGATCTTGGTCTTCCACCAGTCTCCGAAGTGGCCGTGGCTTCCATCTCCGATGAGAGAGAGCCATGGCATCAACTGGCACAGACATAATGGACACATAGGACTGAAATGTGTAAGAAAGCAAATATTTACATTAAGCACAATACAGCAATTTATTTAGATGCTTAAAATGAATACAAAGGGAAATAAAGATCACAAAATTATACATACTACAACAGTGTGTCATAGATGGTATAAATGAATACACCAGGTGGTGTTTAACTAAAGATAAAACTAAATATCCAAAATGCAGCACGCACTGGTTCGCTGCTTCAACACAACACACTTTCATACAGATCTAAAAGGTGTCAAAATTAGTAGCTGCAAAGTCAATTCTTGCATGTGATTTTAGCTTAAAAGATTTCAGAAAACATCTGAAATACCAGTTTTTGTCTGTCAGCTGTAATGTCAAGGATATTCAGAACAAGAAAAATTCTATAATACAAGAGAGTCCAGATATATATCTTACGTGGCTGGCCTCTGTTGCAAGATTGTACAAGGTTATGTGCAAAAACTAAGTCTGTTTAAAAAGTTTATACTAGCATAGTTTCAAGCTTTTGCTAGGTAAACTAGATACAGCGTTTATTACACAGCAAGGGCAACACTAAAAAAGAAACAAATCTATCATGGGTACACAATAACAATATCATAAGCATTACCTGAATATGTCTAAAAGACTGTACAAATATACATTTCAACTATTCAGAATGAATACGTGAAAAAAAAATCAAATTTCCCCAGTCTACTATACACATTGGACTGGTAGCTTGTATGTTGGCCCTATGCTACCATGTGAATCAGGATAACACTTCTTAAGGACATCCAATCAAACATTTTACAGAGGGAAAGAAATGTTGCGAAGGCAGATAAAATAAACCTCTGCTTTTCCTGTGCATTAGTGAGCCATCAGCTTATTCGTTTTTTACACTTAGTTACTGTGTCTGCCACAGCAAGTTCTAAAGCCAGACCAGCCAATCACGTGTCACAGAAATAACCACTGGGAACTGCAGTGGCCACATGTCCTTACAGCCTGATGACCCAGCACTCAGAAGGCAGTACCAGTTAGAATATAGTTTTGCAGCCATACTCAAAGAACAGAGTTCCAGGCTACAGCAGGTCACTGGTGCCAGAGAACCTACCACTTATGCTTGTTGGCTGCTCAGTTTAACTCCGGTTAAGCTGCCATGCATTGGCTCAGCTACTCCATCAGTCATGTTCTCAAACTGCTCCCCATCCTCACTGTCAATTGTGCTATTCTGCCACTCAATCTGTGGGTTGGACAAGCGCTCATCATTTTCAGATGCATTCTTCCACTGTGACTGGTCCTTGGACCAAAACCCTTCAACTTTTCCATAGGAACTATTCTTCCATTTCAACTGCTCTCTGTCACCTTGCATGGTAGCCTTTTTTTTGGCAGCTGGCTTACTGCTCCTTGCATCTTCACTCTGGGAAGACTCATCGGACCAGGTTCCTGGTTTCATTTCGCATGTGTTGTCCTCAAAGTCTGACGCTTGTTGGGAACCAGGGCCACTCTCAGATGGAGAAGCACCATCTTTCCACTCAACAACATCATCTTGGTCAACCTCACTATCAGAAGCATCATGCATTAGTTTGGTTGGTTCCTCAGTCAAATGAATAGTTTCATATTTTGAACCATCCACCTCTTTTTGGTCTAGCTTCTCAGATTCTAAAGCATCCTCAGAAATTACCTTCGGTATGTGCTCCTCTGGATTATCATTAGGAATTTTAGGCTCAACTTCAAAAACAGGGTCAAAAGGGCTACCACTTCCATTGGATTCTTCTTCCAAATTTTCAAAACTGTCTGAGGAACTGTCATCTTCCTTCCCAATGTGGAGCTTTTTGTCAGCAGTTTTACTAGCATTAACTCTGGAATCCTTCTCATCATGATTTTCAAATAACCACTCAGCATCAAAATCCATCTCATGCTTAACTTTGTTTAATTCTTTCATGTTGAAGCCCAGTAACACACCAGGCTTGTACTTCTCACAGTCTCGGACACACTTCTTCCTCTTGTTACTAAAATGGGAAGCAATGTCACTCTTCCACAACCATAAGCTGGCTGCCAGCTTCTCAATTTCTCTCCTGGTGGGATAGGGCTGCTTGTTGAAATACTTTGTTAGGAAGCTTTTCCTGGCTTCATAGGAATCATCTTCATGACCCTTGGGGTCTAAAGCTAAAACAACGGGTTCCTCGGGCTTCTCTTCAAAGAAGCTGGGTGAATCACTATCATCATCTAACTTCCGCTTCTTCAGCAAGGGAAATTCCATTTGCTCGTAAGTGCGCTTCACAGGTGCCAGTCCTGGTGACTGATTAAGCCGAGAGGGTGCATTTGTCTTATCCTGGCCATTCTGGGTCTTTCCAACACCCCTGCAGTGAACTAGATGCAGAGTGATAGTTGAGGCGGTCATGTTGCTGGTATACACACCAAGGCAATGGATACATTTGTAGGTGAGCTTTTTCTCCACTGGATGAACCGTCTGAATAACTTGGTGCCTCTCTCTTAAGTGATGTGCAAGTGCATCAGATATGGGTCCTTTTAGGATTGAAAAGCAAAGAGGGCAAAGGGTTTTCCCAACATCTTTTTTATAGGGCACTGCAGCTTGAGGTGAACTTTTAACAGGGGTGTCTGCCTTTTCCTGAACTTTTGGCTGTGGCTTTGGAGGGATTGGAGGGTTATTTTGGGCATGATAAGCAACAGATTCAGCTGGGGCATCCCTCAGGTTGTATGTGGTTACAAGGAGATGAATGTTAGTGTGACTACCCTGCTGCAATGTCAAATCAAAACTCAAGGTAGAATCTGTTTTAGGTCCCATCTCTTCATCAATGTGAACCATCCTCATGTGTGCTGCCATCTTTTCCACATCATTGAAAGTTGAACGGCAATATGGACAAGACAGACCATGAATTAACATATGGTTGAGCAGGGTATCTGTGGGCAAGTAGCGATTACAGTAGAGGCATTTGCTAGTAAAATTGTGTATTTTCATAATGTAGTTGGCTACTGCTGGGACTTTCTCAGCTTTATGTTCTTTTTCGAAGTGCACACTATAGACATTTTCAGGAAAAAGCTCATTACAGATTGTACATATTTTCCACTTTTGGGTTGAGGAAGTATTGGTTGGGGGAGGGCCTGTGGCAGCTGCAGTAGGTTTGGAACTGGACTGACCTAATACTCTGGATGCCTGTGACTGGGACAGGGAAGGAGACTTTAACTGGCCTGATGAGAGAGAGGAGGCATTAGCAGACTGCAGAGAGTACCGTGCTGGTGCCTGGGACCTCTGCTCTGACCCAAGCCCGTAAGATCTTCCATTTCCACTTGGAAGTAGCTGCTTCACAGACTGAGACTGCTGAGGGATGGAAACTGGTGCGTTGCCACCTAGACCCAGTCTCATTGACTGACCAACGCCATAGCCCTGGCCTACAGATTTGACTCCGTAATTGTTCTGCTGTAGGTGAACATTGGACATCACGTTGACTCCTGTAGAATTTAAGTTAGGCTTTGGTATTGAGAGTCGATTCACCATCTGCTGTGAAGGCAAAGACCGGACGTTTCCAGAAGCAAGGGCACCAATTCTTGACTGGAGTCCCATGCCCTTCTTCTCTTGAGGTTTGGGAGCAATTAGCATTAGAGGTTTGGATCGGGGAACTACCACGTTTGTGTGCCCAATCATGGCAGTGACCTGATAGCCTATGCGTTCATGGTCCTCGATGACATGTTGTACCAAAGCTTCATAGGACTTTGGCATGAAAAGGCATCGCTTGCAGTGAATACTACCCTCTTCCCGGGCATTTGAGCCCAAAGGGACAGCACCATTGAGTGATTTTTCGCCTGCCTTTGCTATGTAAGGTGCTGCCACATGCTGAAAATGTTCCCTGTAAATGTGCTTCCTAACTATTTCATAAAGAGGATCTCGGTAAGTGCACTTCTTACAGTAATAAACAGCTTGCTCCACACTGTCAGCCTGCTTAGGTTTAAGGCCATCATTTTTGCTTTTATCTTTGAAAGTGCTGAGGCTGCTACTTGGTGCGCTGGCGTTTGGAGCATGAAATATTTTAATGTGTGTTTCCAAAGTCTTTTTGTCTGCATTGAAGGTACAGTAGGGGCAATTAAGGAGAATCCTATTTTCAAAGTCTTCACTATGCACATTCCGGAAATGACTTTTGTAGGCAGAGAAGAATTTTGAAGAAAATGGACAAGCGCTGCAGCAAAAAGGTTTTGTCCGATAGTCCTAAAGAAAAGATAAGACTGGAATCAGAATGCCACTTCAGATAAGCAATAACAGGTTCTAAGTTTTTGTTCAGACATTCTCTATTCTTAAAAGATGTTACTTTTAGAACTGAAACTCTAAAGCATTGATTTTCTTTTGCAAAATAAATTTATGAAACATAAACTCAAATGAGAAAGCTGTTTTAAAGTAAATACTTTTGAGTCCCACAGTATAAGTTAAAAAACTCAATTTTAAGTTCTTCCTCAATGCTTAGAAGACCAAAATCACATCTGCTGATTGGTTGGTTGTACACAAAGACAAATGGCTTCAAGATAAACATTCTACAGTTATAAATAACAAGAATAAACTGTGTAATCACTTTCACTCTGAATCAGTAAGGCTTCAGATTTACTATATAATACAATCCAGAGCCCAGTGTTGTAGTACAATTAGGCAATAAAATATAAAAATACACCTTTTATACTTCCCATCATGGAAAAATTTTTGTAGAAAAAAGGCACATCTCCAAAAATCTCTAACATTTTTTCTCTCTGATCAAAGTCCAGTATAGTATTCAGATTTCATTGGTGAGCAAAAAACTGATATGAAAGTAGGCTTTCTTCTACAAGTCATGCTGTTCTTTCTTAAGAAAGACCAGCCTCAAAAAAAGTGAATTTCTTTGATTCAAATTAAGAAGTAAAATAAAAATGTCCTACAGACTGTGAGGAGCCCATGATGTTACAAAAAGCTAGAAACTTTGGTATCAAAGGGCAACTTCCAGAATTATGCTCATTAACACTTGTGTAGTTGGTCCTCTGATGAGGACAGGTGAAACACAAGGTTGGCCAGAGATTTTATTTTCTCCCTAGAAGTCTACTTTGTTTTAGAAACTGCTTTGAATCAAAATGAAACACTCCGTTTTTCCTTAAATCTCAACCCTTCTTTAGTGTTAGAATATGAGGCTTTGGGATTCAGAAAACTGAATAATGTGTCCCACTTGGAAGCTTTTGTATTCTAAGATTGTTGGTTAATACTTTTTCCTGGGGAATTAATAATAAGAAAGAATCAGGTAACTATACTATCAAATTTCTGAGGAAGAGTTTAAAAGTACTAATTCCCTGCCAAGTATGTTCTGATAGATGAACTGATCAATAATCCAGAATTAATAATTTATACTCAAACAGGTAACTGTAAAGTTTAAATTGACAATCACTTCTCCCTTTGGAAAAGGAAATACTACCTATTAACTCTACAACTTAAAAGGAAGGAAGGGTCTTGGTCCTCCCCTCTCAAGAAAAACAAGAACTGAAACACAGAAAAATAGTGGCTAGCCTAGAGGAACAGAATGTTGGAGGAAACACCTTAGGAATAGAAATAGTACTTTTTGGGGAGGGGAGAACGCTGGTATATAATGGGCTTAAGAACTTCTAAGTAACAGAATTTCTAATTTTTACACTTGAAGTTTTAGTCCAATGACGCAAAAGACACAAAGTTCTTTCTAGTTTTCCCCGCCACTTAAGAAAATATGAAATACAGTCATGCATGACTTTACCAATAGATACACATTCTGAGGAACACATTGCTAGGTTCTGTCGCTGACCGAGATGGTACAGGCTACTACATACCTGGGCTACAGGACACAGCCTGTTGCTCCTAGGCTACAAACCCATGCGACATGCTACTATAGTGAATACTACAGGCAATTGTAACATGATGGTTAAGTATTGTGCATCTAAACATAGAAAAGATACAGTAAAAACATGGTATGAAAGATGAAAAGTGGTACACCTGTCTAGAGAGCACTTACCATGAATGGAACCTGCAGGACTGGAAGATGCTCTGGGTGAGCAAGTGGTGAGTGAGTGGTAAGTGAATGTGAAGGCCTAAGACATTACTATACATGACTGTAGACATTAGAAACACTGTACATGCAGACTATTCTAAATTTATTTTTAAAAATTTCAAGAAATTAACCTTAGCCTACTGTAACTTTTTTAGTTTATAAACTTAAAAACTGTAACTAACTTTTTGACTCCTTTTATGGTAACAGCTCAAAGCATAAACACATTGTACAGCTGTATAAAATTTTTTTCTTTATATCCTTATTTTATAAACTTTTTTCTATTTAATTAAAAAATATTTTAAAAACTTTTTTTGTTAAAAACTTACAATCAGTCTAGACCTATACAGGGCCAGGATCATAATATCGCAGTCTTTAACTACCACGTCTTGTCCCACTGGAAGGTTTTCAGGGGCAGTAACACGCATGGAGTGTCATCTCTGATGAGAACAATGCTTTCTCCTGGAACACCTCCTAAAGGACCTGCTGGAGGCTCTTCTTGAGGTTTCACTCTCTTCAGAAATGTGTCCATGGTGGTTTCTTCATTATACGTTTTCTTGTAAGCACATAATGCACCATGAACATCCCTCTATTAATGAGAACCTTTTTCTTTGGGTCCATATTTTCAAACTTTTTAAGGAGCTTGAAGTCTGCAAAAGCTTCTGCCAAACCCTTCACTGTGAAGTTTCCTGGAGATTTTTTCTTCTCCTGTGGTTTCCTTTTCTCTTGCCTTTTCTTTCGCTATGTGCTCCTGTTTCACAACTAATGGGTCATTAGTCAATTCCTCAGGAACCATTTTCTAGGAGCTCCTCAATGTTATCCTTACCTATATTCAGGTTAAAGTGGTTCACCATCGTTCAGCCACAGCGTGACTGATTTTTGCAACCACCTCACCCCTTGCAAATCCTTTGAAGTCATGGACGAACCTCTTGTGTGTCCTCTTCCAGATGCTCTTCATATATTCCTAGGTGACACCACCCTAAGCAAGGTTCTTATGCAGCCATAGATATTGTAATCCTTCTAGAATTTCATGTCTTCTCAGTATTTTTCTGTTGCAGCAAGAGCCTGGGCAAAGGTCCTGGCTTTAAAAGTTGCTATACCTCCTTGATCCATTGGTTGGATGAAAGAGGTGGTGTTTGGATGGAGAAACACTACTTTGACATTGGGGTGAAGATCGCCAATAAAAGGAGGATGCCCAGCAGCATTATCAACAATAAGCACAATCTTGAAAGGTATGTTATTCTCCAAATACTATTTCTCCATTTTGCTGATGTAGCAACTCCAGAGGGCATCTTGGAACAGAAGCTGGGTGATCCATGACTTCCTACTGCTTCTGTAGTATACTATCAGTGTGTGCTTACTGATATGGTTGAAGACTCTGGGTTTCTCACTGTGCCAGATCACAAATGGTTTCAATCTGTAGCCTGCAACACTGCCCCCAAGCAAGACTGCTATCCTGTCCTTAAAGCCTTGAAACCTGGCATTGACTTGCCCTCATGACTGAAGTCCTTACAGACATGTTTCCAGAGTAGGGAGGTTTCGTCCATATAGAATATTTGCTCTGGCAAGTAATTTTCCTCCACGACCAGCTTATATATAGTTTCCAAAAATTCTGCAGCTGCCTTTCACATCAGCACTTGTAGACTCACCACTCACTTTCACATTATGTAATGAATAATAATTCATTCATGAATCCTTTAAACCACCCAGAGCCAGCAGTACATTCAACACCACCATTTTGCTCTGGCTGTGACTGTCATGGTGCTGAGGTATATGCTTCCGTGTGTGGTCTTCAATCCAGGTCATTATAAATTTCTCCGTGTTTGATATAGACCCTTCTTGAATTTTTGTTAGTCTCGTTGCCTTCAATGAAGCAGATCCTTTAATAGCTTCTGTCACTTTGTTCTTGTTCAAGATTGTAGCTATAGTGGAATGGGACATGCCTGACTGCTGAGCAATAACCATCATTGGTTTTCCACCTTCATAGTCCTTAATTACTCTTAATTTTATTTCCATGTCAGTCACTTGACATGGCTTCTCACTGTCAACATTAGCAGTGGATTTTGTATGCTTAGGAGTCACGATGATCAAAACAATCAAGATTAAATCAAGCACAAGAGAAATGATGCAATCAAGAGACGTGGTAAACAGGTGTATGAAGCTGTTTCTGGTGTAACACAGCATACTGTTCTACGGCAAACTCTTTTATGTGACTAGAAAGAATATACTCTTAAATAACAATAAAAAGTATAACAGTAAATATACAAACCAATAACATGGTTTATTATCATTATCAAATATTATGTACTGTACATAATTGTATATACTATTTTTTTTTAATCCTTACCCAAGGATATGTTTTTTTATTTTTAGAGAGAGGGAGAGAGAAACATCAATTGGCTGCCTCCTGAACGCACTCTGAGACCAGGGAAGAAACCTGCAACCTAGTTATGTACCTTGACCGGGAATTGAAAGCAACCTTTTGGTGTATGGAACAATACTCCAACCAACCGAGCCACCTGGCCAGGGCTATGCTATACTTTTATATGATTGGCAGCATCACCACTAGCACGAGTAATGCGTCACACCACTGTCTTACGACAACTTCAACATCATTAGGCGATAGGAATTTTTCAGCCTATCATAATCTTATGGGACCACCAGTGTATTATTCAGCCCATTGTTGACAAAAAAGGCATTACGCGGCACATGACTATACCCAATTTTGACCTTTTCTACTGTGAAAGGCCTAGAGCTGAGAAGGGAGCACACCTGGTCCCACTTACCTGACTTTTTGTGAGTGAAGGGTCCCATAGTCCTACATCCTCCCACGTAGTGTTTTTCAAATAAAAGTCATTAGGTTCAAACTGTTTAAAGTCCTAGAAAACAGTGAAAGAAGTTTACAAAAATATAGTGGTATCAACTCTAGCCCAACCTTACTTATGTAGCCCTTCTCTTAACCAGGATTGGAGTGATGTACCAGAGAATCAACCCCACCAAGAACTAAACTAGGAGCCATGCAGCTCTTAGGAAATACAAAAAGGCATATGGAAGTTGCAGTGAGCATTTTATCAACTGAACATTCCCCTAAAGGTCTGCCAGGTTTCCAAGGAAAACGTTCAAAGTTCTGATTAAAAAGTTTAGCCACAGATTAATACCGAAGTACCCTTCATCAGTTGTAATGTTCACTTATAGCACTAGAGATGTGATATTCTGGTTCTGTGCAATAAATAAATAAATTAGGAGTGGGGTGGGGGGAAGACTGGACTGGGAAGAAAACTCAAGATTTCTGAACCCCAAAAGGAAGAAAGCTATTCAAAGAAAAACAGTATTATATTAAATTTATACTCTTATATAAAAATTTAATGGCCTGCTTCCTCCCAGGCTAAGAAGATAAAAAGTCTAAGGGTATAATTCCCTTTGCTCCTAAAAGGTTCACAGTTCAGGGTGGGAAAATCAAATACATGTAAATTCCAGGACATGTAATGGGTGTAATCATGGGAGGAAAAAATCAAATGCAGGATAGAAAAGGTACCTTATTTACATTATTTATTCTATGAAGATTACCCCACTGAGTGTGATTTGAATGGACTATTTCATCAGGCAGATTTACCTGAACTTGAGGGGTTGGAGAGGGAGTGGAGTGATCTTTCACACTGGGGACAACTTATCTAGAGAAGCCTCAGTCTACATAATAAAAGCCTAGAGACTATTAGTGGGACTCAGGAAAAGAAAACTTGTTGAATAAAGGAAATTGCTTTTTTACTTTCAACTCCATCCAAACATTTACTGAGTGCCTATTTTGTCCCCAGCACTGTGCTAGGGATACACGGATGGACAAAGTAGTTCTGGTCCCTGACCAGCTGGGACCTAAAGGCTAGTAGGGAAAACAGCTTTAAACATTTCTTGTCAACCAGAGAGGCTTTGTTGACCAACTAAATGTAAGACCTGGAGCAATGAGATCTGGAAAAGGAGGAACTAATGCACTGGCTATCCCACAGGGCTGTTATAAATAAAGCTCACAGAACAAAAGACTAGAAAAAGTTTGTAAAGTCCAAACTGTTACACAAGGGGAAGATGGGTCTATGATGGGTCAAAAGGGCCAACAAATGCCTAAATCCTATGGAAAGACAACAAGCACCCAAACCACCATGACTCAACAATCAGAAGGTCAACCAGAACATTCAGGTATATCAGAATGGGAACAGGCTCTGGAGTCCCACAGACAAACCCCCTGCCACATGCATAGCTATGAGGTGGACCTATTTCCTTACAGTTTCTTCACTTGTAAATTGGAGATAAGAATTTCTACATCCCTCCAGGGGTTGTTTTAAGGACTTGAAATTTGGAGACAATTTTAAAGTGAGTAAACTGACTGACTTGTGTATGTCCTCAATAGTTTAACTGCTTTTGCTTCAGGATGGAAAGATGAAAAAGCCCATTTTAGGGACAAGGGAACAAGTTAGGCTAATTGAGAAAGCTTTGTCAAAGTTAATGCTGAGGTTCAAAATCAGAATCATACCTAAGAGTTCACCATCCTGGCCGCTGACACAAAGTAATGGATCAGAAGCTGAGTCATGTTAAAATTAAAAAATGGCATGCTACTTACTTCTATGTGTTCTTTACAGTATTCCAACCCAATGTCACTAAGTATTTTTTTCACAGTTTTCCGGGCTTTTCTTAAACTGCCAAGATTGTTGACAGGAAGTTGGAACATAGTTTCTATTGGAAAAAAAAATTTAAGTCAAGTCAAAACATGTACAAGTTGTAATAATTACTAATTCCACTGATGGTAGGATCAAAAACCCTGGCCCAGTTTGACAAAAAAAAAAAAAAAAAAAAA